AGAGAGAGAGAGAAAGAGAGAGTTAGAGATAGAACAAGAAAGAGAGAGAGAGAGAGAGAGAGAGTAAGAGACAGAACGAGAGAGAGAGAGAGAGTAAGAGACAGAACGAGAGAGAGACAGAGAGACGGAGAGACAGAGAAAGAAAAGGCAAACAAGAGAGCAATCGCCATCCACAGCAGCTGTCACCGTTTTCTGAATGAACGAACCTTCGAAACCGTGACGCAGATTTTCAAATAAAAAAAAAGAGGAGATCCCCGCCAATTGTTCGATCGTATGGGCGATGGCTTACATTGTTATTACACTCGTGGTTTTGTGTTTTTGTCTGTGCACCTGATGGCAGTGACTTGCAACTTGTCCCTGTATTCATGCATGGCCTTCGATGTAGTTTTTTTTTTCTATCCATCATCGTGACGGTTTCTGTTTACATTTCCTACGTAATCGGAGAAGATGAAGTTTATCCGGCGCATGAGGAGGACATTTTAGAAATCATTTTAGCGTATTCTGTGATTTTTTTATTTTTTTTTGGTCATTCTTTCTTTCTTTCTCTCTTTCTCTCTTTCGCTCTCTCTCTCTCTCTCTCTCTCTCTATCTATCTATCTATCTCTATCTCTCTCTCTCCCTCTCCCTCTCCCTCTCTCCTTCTCCCTCTCCCTCTCTCCTTCTCCCTCTCTCCTTCTCCCTTTCTCCTACCCCCCTCTCTCTCTCTTTCTCTCACTCTCTCTCTCTCTCTCTCTCTCTCTCTCTCTCTCTCTCTCTCTCTCTCTCTCTCTCTCTCTCATCGCGTTTATATATTAAATCAGTTCGTATTTATTCTCTTTGCTCTTTTTATTTCTTTTTAACTGTCTTTCGGCGCCTGTCATTCTTCTCGATTATTCTCTCACACACCTTTCTCTTTTCCTGTTATCTCGCTCCTCCATCCGTGGCTCCTCGACCTTTTCCTCTTTCCTCTCTTGCCTTTTATGGACGCGGCGACCCTTCTATGTCCTCGCGTCTGCGCTGTCCCTCTCTCTTTCTCTTTCTCTCTTTCTTTTTCTTTTTCTTTTTCTTTCTCTTTTTCTTTCTCTTTCTCTCTCTTTTCCTCTCTCTCTCTCTCTCTCTCTCTCTCTCTCTCTCTCTCTCTCTCTCTCTCTCTCTCTCTCTCTCTCTCTCTCTCTCTCTCTCTCTCTCTCTCTTTTTTTTTCCTACCCCCCTCTCTCTCTCTATCTATCTATCTATCAGTCTATTTGTACATCTCTCTGAACTGAGGATACTTTGAGAAAATCCATCTTAGTCCACGAAATTAGAAAGTTTTTTTTTAAGAGCTTTGAAGTCATTTATGGGCATCCGATTGTCAGGTCTTTACGTCTTTTGGTGTTTGAGAATATATACGGAGGTTTTAATAAGAGAGAGAAGAAAGGTAAAGGATATACGTGGATGATAGTCCGTACGTGAATGGGGTATAAATGGGCATATATATATTTTTTTTTCATTTCTTTTTCTCTCTTTTTTTTCCTCTCTATCTTCTTCCTTTCGGTGTTTAAGGTCTTTCTTAGAGATCCTTTGGGTTATCAGCATTACTTTTTTTTTTTAATTGGTTGATTAATTATGTTCTTTTGGTAAGGTTTTGTTTTATTTTTTCTTTCTTTTTTTTGTTCTTCTTCTCTCTTCTTCTCCCCTTCTCTTCTCTCTTTTCTGTCTCGTTTACTTTTCTTACTCTTTCCGCTGCTCTTCCTCTTTCTCCTCCTCCTCCTCCCCCTCCTCCTCCCCTCCCCCTCCTTTTTTCCTCCCCCTCCTCTCTCTCTCTCTCTCTCTCTCTCTCTCTCTCTCTCTCTCTCTCTCTCTCTCTCTCTCTCTCTCTCTCTCTCTCTCTCTCTCTCTCTTCTCCTTCCTCTTGTCCCTCCCCCTCCCCACCCCACCCCTCCTTCACCCTCCAGCCCCCCAACCCTCCCCAACTCTCTCTCCCCACAACTCACTGCATACAACAGCCGCCCTTCCCCTCCACACTTTCCCCCACCTCTCCTTCACCCCACCACACTATCACACTCCCTCCCCACCCACCCTTCACCCCAACCTCACCTGAACCATCCCCAACTCCCCTTCCATCTCCCCATGTCAAATCTCTCCTTCTCTCCCCACCTTTCCATCTCACCCATTTCTCTCTCTCTTTCTCACCCCACCCCACCTACCTCCCCGCACCTCCCCTTCACCCCTCCACCTCTCACTCACCCACCCACTACCAACTCCCCTCCACCTCTCCTTCACCCACCCACTACCAACTCCCCTCCACCTCTCCTTCACCCACCCACCCCCCAACTCCCCTCCACCTCTCCTTCACCCACCCACTACCAACTCCCCTCCACCTCTCCTTCACCCACCCACCCCCCAACTCCCCTCCACCTCTCCTTCACCCACCCACCCCCCAACTCCCCTCCACCTCTCCTTCACCCACCCACTACCAACTCCCCTCCACCTCTCCTTCACCCACCCACTACCAACTCCCCTCCACCTCTCCTTCACCCACCCACCCCCCAACTCCCCTCCACCTCTCCTTCACCCACCCACTACCAACTCCCCTCCACCTCTCCTTCACCCACCCACCCCCCAACTCCCCTCCACCTCTCCTTCACCCACCCACTACCAACTCCCCCTCCTCCTCTCTCTCTCTCTCTTTCTCTTTCTCTTTTCGTTTTTTTCTTTTCTCTTTTCGTTTTTTTTTTCATTTTTTTCGGGTTTATTTTATTTTATTTTATTTTATTTTTGTTTTTTGATTGATAGGGATACTGATAGATAGGTACATTGTTATGTAGGAACAGTGATAGATGGTTATGTTGATAGATAGGGGCACGGATAGATAAATACATTGATAGTATATTCAATATATCTATATCTATATCTATCTATCTATCTATCTATCTATCTATCTATATATATATATATATATATATATATATATATATATATATATATATATATATTTATATATATATGTGTGTGTGTGTGTGTGTGTGTGTGTGTGTGTGTGTGTGTGTGTGTGTGTGTGTGTGTGTGTGTGTGTGTGTGCATAGATAGTAAGATAGGCAGATAGATAGACAAATAGGTAGAGAGCTTCTGGACAGATAGACAGGTAGATTATCAGACAAATAGATAAAGATACAAATTGATATACGAATGTATCAATTTGTATTTATTTCACAGCTAGATTGACCGACAGATAAACCAGGTGAGAGAGAAGATCAGAGAGCAAAGAATTGAAAGGCGAGACGAGGAAATATAATTGAAGACAAGAACTAGACAAAAAAGACGAAACAGAAAACGCGTGATAAAGGTTAAAGACATAATGATAAGGAGAAATTTAAGAGAAAGCAAAGACGAAAGAGAGGTTAATGAGAAGACGAAAGAAAAAAGGGAGAGAGTTTGGAAAGAAAGAAAACGGAGGAGAAAATTAAGAGATAACACAGAGAGAGAAGATTTTCAAAGAGGGTCTTAATACATTATAATCAAGACAATTTTGATGGATTTCGGAAGATAAACAAAATGAGAAAAATTGTTTTAATGAGGGTTAATTAGAGATGTTTAATTAGATTTTTAAAAAATTGAAAAAAAAGGTCTGAGTGAGTCAACAAAATAGATGAAATGAAAGAATAAATTGCTTTTGCGGTGAGGGAAAGAAAACGAGGGTCGTATGTATGAGATTTTACATAATTTACATAATTTCTTATCCTTTTTTGTTTTATACTTCCTCCTTTCATACATTTATTTAGAGATAGATTTAATATTTATTTTTCTTTTCAATTATATCCATTTCTCTGTTTCATTATATTGCTAAATAAATATGTTTTTCTCTTTTTCTTTTTCTTTCTTTTATTTTTTGTATATCATTTTCCCCTTTCTTCTTTGTTCTCTTTCTAATACGCCCTTGTTTCCCTTTTTTTTCTTTTTTTTCTATTTTCGTTGTATTTCATTTTATCTCAGCTTGTCAAGCTCCTTACTAGCAGGTATTTCCTTTACGTGTTTCTGCATAGTTTTCTGTATTTTTTTCTACATTTTTCCCTTAGGTCAATTATCGCCCTCTCTACCTATCTATCATACTCTCTCTCTCTCTCTCTCTCTCTCTCTCTCTCTCTCTCTCTCTCTCTCTCTCTCTCTCTCTCTCTCTCTCTCTCTCTCTCTCTCTCTCTCTCTCTCTCTCTCTCTCTCTCTTTCTCTCTCTCTCTTTCTCTATCTATCTATCTATCTGCCTCTCTCTCTCTCTCTCTCTCTCTCTCTCTCTCTCTCTCTCTCTCTCTCTCTCTCTCTCTCTCTCTCTCTCTCTCTCTCACTGCTTCCTCCCCTCCCTCCCTCCCTCTACCTCTTTTCCCCCACATCCCACCTTCCCATCCTCCTTCCCCACTCTCCTTCCCTCCCTCCCTCCCTCCTTCCCTCCTCTTCCACCATGAATCTCACCCCCGTCCCTCCTTCCCCTCCCTCCCTCCCTCTACCTCCCTCCACCACGAATCTCACCCCCGTCCCTCCTTCCCCTCCCTCCCTCCCTCTACCTCCCTCCACCACGAATCTCACCCTCGTCCCTCCTTCCCCGCATCCTTCCCTCCCTCCCTCCCTCCCTCCCTCCCTCTCCTCCCTCCCTCCCTCTCCTCCCTCCCTCCCTCTCCTCCTTCCCTTCTCTACCAACACGAATCTCACCCCCTCCCTCCTTCCTCCCTCCCTCCACCACGAATCTGACCCCCGTCCCTCCCTCCCTCCCTCTCTCCCTCTCTCCCTCCCTCTCTCCCTCCCTCCCTCCCTCTCTCCCTCTCCTCCCTCCCTCCCTCCCTCTCCTCCTTCCCTTCTCTACCACCACGAATCTGACCCCCGTCCTTCCTTCCTCCCTCCCTCCCTCCCTCCCTCCCTCCCTCCCTCTCTCCCTCTCCTCCCTCCCTCCCTCCCTCTCCTCCCTCCCTTCTCTGCCACCACGAATCTGACCCCCGTCCCTCCCTCTCTCCCTCCCTCCCTCCCTCTCCTCCCTCCCTCTCCTCCTTCCCTTCTCTACCACCACGAATCTGACCCCCGTCCCTCCTTCCTCCCTCAGGTCGAGAAGGTCCTTGGGCTGAAAGACCTCGGTCCGGCGCAACTGTACCACGTCCAGCCTTCTTGCGCAATAATAGGAGACGGTCTAGAGGACGGCTTGGAGTCCCTGTACGATATGATTTGCAAGAAGAAGAAGATTAACAAAAACAATCACAAAAATAGCAAGAAAAGGTGATAGCGGTCGTGTTACGGGCGCCTTGTGATACTCAGAACGTTTGTTTGTGTGTGTGGGAGTGTGTATGTGTGTGTGTTATATTAGCGATAGGGAACAATTTTTTTGTAATTAAAAAAATATTGAAAAAAAAATTAATAAATTATATGAATGAA